CCTATCGAGTTTAATAATGACGGTCTGCTGACAAAACTGCCCAAGTTTCTACTCTACTTGAGTTAGATTTCTTGGACAAAAGATTTCTTTTCTGGCTGTTCAATCTTAGGTTGTTTTGATTGAGTCATTTTGACAGCAAACCGAGTTAGTTCCGGTGTTTCATCAGGGTATGCACGCCATCTCCCATTGTCGCCCTTCTTTTCATCGAAGACCTCTAATCTCCTATCTATGCTTTTCTCGATGACAAAACCGTACATTGTTCTCTTAGTACAGCAATTCCCATGTATATTATTTAACCACTGGTGGCAATCGATTGTGTGTGTGCTTCACCCAGCACATCCGAATGTCACTGCTGCTTAGGGCGTTAAAAATCGAGTCGTTTGCAATATCGCATACCGGAAACTGTATCCTTGAACCACCAATCTGTATTTGAAGTCCTTATCAATTCGTTTTTTAGTCTTTACAGTCACACTTGGTCTCCGGTTTTCCTAGCCTATAAGCCTTTGTTTCCTCTTAAGGCTGAACTCGTATCGCCTGGGTCTTGGAGGATTTCCTTCCTAATTCCGCACTAGACGAGTTTTCACATCTTTTCAGCTACTCAGTCATTTCAAGAACTCCATGTCTCCCACTCTGGATTGTTGTAACCCTGTTCGGGGTCGGTACTTCTCTTCTTTGTATATCTTGTACCGTGTGCGGCGTACTCATTCATTGTTCACCAATTCTCCCCTAACGTCCAAAAATAAACCACTTATTATTCGTCTCTGTGCAATCGTACGTAACCTTGTTCGTTTTTTACCGTTACTGACAGGATTTCGCTCTTTGAAGTGTGCCTTTTCGCCCCCGCTTAAACTATCATTCGATGGCAGGGCACAGTCTCCAGGTTTGAGTCACCCTTATCGCGTTACTGTAAAAACCCTGTAAAACTGCGATGTTCAAATCTGCTTTTCAATGATTTGTTTTTTTGTTGCTCTTAACCTTTCGATGTCCCAGTTTTCTTTTAAATGAACGTGCTCACATTCCCAATGGGCAGTTGTCGCAAAGTTCATGCTTTACCATACACAAATATGGTATTGAGAAAAGCAGCTTAGTGTAGTATTAGACTGTAGTCGTACTTTTCCGTATTCATCTGGATAAAATGTTTCCGGAAAAGGGCAGAGGTCTATATGCGCCTGTCTGGATGAACACAGAAATGGAGGAAATAGGAACGGCATGTGAAAGACTCAAATACCCTAGTGAACAACAACGGGGTTCGTTAAGGGGTTGTGCAATTCCCACACTTATTTTCCACTCATATTTGTGATATTCCCCGTGTTTCCCTTGCACGAATTTTGAAATATGCAGATGACGTCGTGTTGTGCCACACCATTTCTTCTTACTCTGATCTAAGCTACTTCACCGATAATCTTGATCAAATTCAGTCATTCGCCTCCTCATCGGGGTTAACCCTGAACCACAGTAAATGTGTTGAGTGTTTACATAGTTTTGATCGCCCCCTATATCCAACAGACCCCACAGTGATTAATAACAATTCTTTATCCAGGGTAAAATCTGTCAAATATCTTGGTGTAACCATAGATAGCAATCTTCATTGGTCAACCCACATCCATAACTGCATTGGTAAACTGTGACGCCCATCGTTTCAAATACGAAAGCTCAGGCAGTTTCGCACATCCCAGTCAGTTATTTCTACCTTTGTTTATCAGTGTGTTTTTCCCATCCCATTCTACTGTTCCCCAGTCATTTTTTCCTGGCTTACTCAAACAGGATTTTTAAGTCTTACTCCGCGGTCTAATCATTTTTGTCGCGTCTCTTCTATTTCTGTGAATGAGTTAGCTTTAAAGCTTTCAGAGTATCACTTTAATTTCCTGTGTGAAATTTTCTGAGGGGATTCTCCTGACCACCCATTACACGCATAATTGACACGATGTCGTTCCCATCGTTCAACACACTCCCAATTCCGCCAAAATTCATCTCGAATTACCGCTTACCGTAATTCGACTATACCGTATCTTGCTCGTGTACTTATAGAGAGCGGACAATAAGTGACTTTGTCCTAACCTTGGGTTATGAAATATCTTCATGTCTGTAAAAAGGTTCTATTAGTATGTTTTGTACATTGTGACGGTTAGCATGTATGATTTTTTAACTGAAATGTGAGCTCCAGTGCTTGCAAAACGTTATTCACAATACATTACAATACAATATAATACAGTGCACGGCCGGTAGTTTGTTTCATTCAAGGAGACAGAGACTGTACGTTCAGATCAATGCTCCAAACCGTAAATATTAGAGTTTCACCATGACACTGGTTAGATTCTTTTTGCTGTTGCACAGGAATCTTGTGAATCTTGAACTGACCTTTACTCACTTTGTAGTATTAATACCATGTAAAGCACTAGTATTAAATGAAACATCGAATTCTTGTCCAGCCACAACAAATTAGCAAATAGCATCGATGAATTCAAGTTTCGAAAAATAATTTATTGTGTAGCAATTATCCTTCTGGATGGAATGTATTTCCACGACCGATAAATACTTGAGTGAAAATAAGCTCATTTCGTGCTATGAGCTAATCGAAACGGAAATGTTTGTGACATACACCACAATCACCTTGATCCAAACTGGACAGGGAAAAAGTTCATTCAATTTTCACGCTCCGATGCTGCTGTCTTCACTGATGTTGGAAGCGATCATTTTTCACGGCACATTTAACCCTTCTCAACACAGGTCGGCTCAGCATGATTGCCAGCCTCGGCATCTACGCACTGGATCGTGTGTGCACGCGGAATATATCATAGGGACGCAGATGATTAATATGGAAATAAAGCAAAATAACATATTTGCACTTTTAAACTGTTTATTTTGCACTCATTTCAGTGCCCTCCAGGGAGTTGGGTGGGGTGGGGTGGGGGGTTGGTAATTGCATCGTTTGCCTAGCTTCCTTTTCGTAAGTGGATCATGGAAGGTGTGTCTGGCTTGTTCTTCAATTACGAGCACACAATGAACTCGGTGAAGTGTATCACATGTTTGCAACATCCTGTAGATTTACTCAGTTCCAGTGAAGCTTCGGATTGGCCCATTCGAAAATAAGGGTTTTCTTTTCTCGTTCTCAGATACACCAAGCACAAGATGCGTGATGAACGGTATCGTAACTCAATTTGCGATAGATTCGTCGTTATTCGATTGAGTTATGAACGGCCTGTTTGTTCTCTTTCGGCAGAGCAGATTCCGAACCAGCCAGTGGGATGGTTCTGACCGGATCACGATGAGAGAAAGGGGTGGATCTATTTTCTGTTCTTTCGGAGAACCGAAAATTTAATTTAATTATTCTTGGGATACATTGAATTTTGTCGGTAAACTACTTGAAACTCAATTGTTAGTGCGGAAGTGCATCTGGGTGCTGTTTGATTGTGTTTAGTGTATGTGTCTAGTGCATTCTGACCGTGTGATTCTCAGAAGAGCTCAGGGAAGTGAAGGGAAGATCGAGGGTTCACTTTACCATTTAGAAAATAAAGCAGATGACCTTGAACGTTTCTGTCCTTGTAACGAACCTGGGCGATTGAGTCGTTGAGAAATAGTTTCAGAAAATTTAAACTAATCAAATTGCATTGCTCAATTCTAAGTAAACAATAACAACTGGAGCAGATGATTTATAATGAAATCAAATATACTGCGGGTGGAGAAAAAAATGATACTACCTAGGAGTGAGTTGTGTACTTGTTTTGATACATGCGGAAAGTGAAACTTAGTGGTAGCTTTAAATGCCATGCTATCAGGACAGATTGCAAAGGCAACCTTAATAAACAAGAACAGCTGGAAGCTAAGTGTAGTTAAAATAAAACCGGGGTTTAGTCACGGACTTGGGGGATCAGCAGTATTTACAGTTTAATAATGCTGAATCGAACAACGCGTAGGTTTTTCGGTGATATATGAATCATTTACCCTATAGAGTTTGTTGTTTCGCACTTTATCGCACATAATAGACACTATATTATACTATTATTTTGTTCAATCACAACCGTTCTCTGTGATTAATTAGATTTAAAATCCGCAAAGTTTTATTGTTCATTTACAAAGCAAAATTGTTCGGTCAGTAAACATTGCGAATAATTTAATGCAGCTTAAGTTCAACACTGCAAGTTGCAGGATAAGATAGGCAATCGAGCAGTTAGTGATTCACCTTGTCTTGATTGTATCACCACTTTTCTTCCGGTTATTGAAGGAATCAAAATAAGCGAGTGCACCGTTTCAATTATCTTTTCAGGAGGTCGACAGAGTTAGATTTTCGAAGTTTCAATGTGGTGGAGAAAGTTTTTAGTGTCTGCTTTCAGCAATATACAGTAGTTTTCTGAACAGAGGAGAGTGATAGGAGTTTGGAGGAACAAATGTGATGAAAGTATTGGTGTTACGTAAGTTTATTCAATGCATGTTTATTCTATGTTATCGGTGTACAAAGGTTTACCAACTTTTCCTTTTGTGTTTGACTGAATTAAGTTGCCAGTAACCGAGATCTTAAAGGTCCAACTGAACACACCGGGAACAAACGCAGCGTGACGAACTTACTATTACATTACCACTAGAACCAGACGGGAATGAAAAATAACAGGTTGAGTGTTTTGCATGTGATTCCGATGATGTGTGTGTGAAAAGTGTAACCCGTCATTCACCCCCAACTATTCGTGTGAGGCACTAACATAATCACAAATATGGCGATGGCGAAAAATTCAGTTATCTCGGTCGGATTCGAACTCGTGCATGGAACCCACCGACGCTTTGTTCGCGCAAGCTATACCAGCTGAGCTACGAAGTCNTACCTATCCAACTTACAGAGTCATATGTCATCCACCAGCTAGCATTTAAGCGTCCATACGTGGGTTGGAATCTCACCGAGACTACTGAAATTTTCACAATCGCCATACAAAATTTAAATTTACCAAAGAACAATTTGAGTAATCACAAGTACCCAAAATTACGCTTGATTGCCGCGTTGTGTCGAACGCAGCTGCAAAGGTTATCGGTTTGCTTATGCGGGTCTTTCACCGGATTCAG